TGGGAGGGCAAATTTTAGGGTACAACACCTTCACTGATTCCAGGCTCAGTCAAAATGCATTCCCTCACTTCTTTCAACCTCCAGTCGAAGAAGGCAATAAGGCATAACCAGAAGGCTTCGCCATACACATACTTATCCAATCGAAGGCCATGACCTCACTGGTGCTAGCCCCAATCGAAGGAGGCCAACAGAATGCAAATCGAAGGGTGCTCCTGCATGAATCGAAGGATTTTTTTTTACTTCTTTTTATCTTATTTTTTCCTTTACATTTCTATGCACTTTAATATGGTTGTAATAGTGTAGGATTTATTTTTTTGCACTTTTTATTACTTTTGTACAAATGCTAGTAATTAGGTGTGTATGGAAAAATAAAAACAACAAATAGAAAACCCTAATCAAGAATAAATGCATGCAATCAAACACACTTTGCACACATGCACCCTTAGGGTAATTCCACTTGTTGCCTTATAAATGACCATGTTATGCATGTGAGTTGTCTTAGCACAAACAAATCGAAAAATACAAGATCATAGCCCCTCGATGACGCTATCAAAGTTGCCTTTCAAAATGATCTTAGTCCCTAAAGAAAAGTTCTAAGTCATCTCACAACATTGCTATCATGGTCACACGATGACCCAACGCTCGTCCCTTCACATCCAACGATGGAGCTTCTTACCAAATCAATGGTAAGATGGCAACATCTAAAGGAGGAGGAAAAGCACTTATAAAACCTTTTGAGTAGGTAGATACGCTCGCAGTTACTCGCTTGCTCACAACAAAAATATTTCATACACCTATACTTTCCACTTTGAAACATTTTCGAAACAAACACTTTGTATACATTCTTATAGAAACGAGAATCATTACAAAGTTACATTTTCAAAATATTTTCAAAAACACATCTCACAAACACCTCTTTGAACTATTTTTGAAACAAACACTTTGTAGGCGTTCTTATAGAAACGAGAACCATTACGAAGTTCCATTTTCCAAATACTTTCAAAACCCACATCACAAGCACATTCAAACAAAAGTAAGTGATCTAGGGAGTAACTAAGAGCCCATGGAAAACCATGGATGAAAATGGTGCTAATACCTTCCTTTTCATAATCTACCCCCCGAACCCGAGAAATAATCTCGAAAGGTCTTTTCTGTGCTTTTTTACCTTTCCTTTTGGATAAAAGAAAAGTCGGTGGCGACTCTTGCTAAACCGCAACATTTGCAAACACAAATGCAAAACATCAAGTCAGTTCTACCACCGTATCACACCTCCCCTATTAAAGGAATACAACAGAATTTCAGACCCTGTCGACCATATCGACGGGTTTGAAGAAATACTCCATTACCACAATGTCGGGGGGCCTATTAAATGTCGGTTGTTTCCCACGACCTTGAGAAAAATAAACATGGACTGGTACAAGAACCTCTCCCCAGGTTTGATCACCTCCTGGAGGAACCTCAAGAACCAGTTCATCAGCTCCTTCATAGCGTCTCGTTGACATCCGAAGACCGAGGCCCCCCTCGAGGAAATTCTCCAGAGAAGCGACGAGACCCTCATGGAATACATTGATCATTTCAATCGCGAGGCCATTCAGGTCCCGTGCACCGATCACATGAAAAAGTACCTACTCGAGAGAGGACTCCTCCCGGGCACTGAATTCAGAAAGGCCGTCGGCATTAAGCCTCCCAGATATTTCAACGCTCTCCTCGAAAAGGCCAGGGCCTACATGGACTACATGGAGAAAGAAGTAGTAAATAAAGCCCGTGACTCGAGGAATCGCGGACCAGCTAACGTCCCGCGACACTAGGACGCGACCCTTCTCGATGGACTGGAGAGAAGAGAAGGGGGGAGAAACTGCGCGATTCTCGCGAGCATAGAGGACCGCCAGGACAGTTTACAGAGTATACCTCGCTGACCGCTTCCCGAGAGCATAGAGGACCACCAGGACGGCTCACAAAGTATACCTCGTTGACTACTTCCCGCGAGTGCATCCTAGTGGAATGCTCTAATACCGAGTTCAAGGACGACGGCGTCAGACATCCTCAACCCGCTCCTGTAAAGCTCGGGGCTGACAAAACGAAATACTGTCACTACCATCGCAACCACGTGCACTTGACTGAAGACTGCGTCCACCTCAAGGATGCCGTCGAGACTCTCATTAAAGTTGGGAGACTTGGGCAGTACAGACGCAACGACGCCTCTCACCGAGACACCCGCGAGGTGAAATATGTTGAGGAAGAAACCCGATCGTCTGATGAATCGGGCCCTGTCTAAGTGGATTTCTCCGTGATAAGTCCAGAAGAGTTCCACATCTCCGACAGTTACGAGGACAAACCCTTGTCTGTGCACAACAGATGGGAGAAATTCCCCTTTGCCATGGTCATATCTGGCAGGGGATTCAACGACATTACAATGAACTCGACAAAGAGGAAGCTCGAAGAGTTGGTGGACGCAGCTCCGATCTAGGCTATAACGCTCGAAAGGTTCAAAGGAAAATCTGAGACAATCACCTTTTACCTAGAGGAGCTGCCCAACGGAGCTCTGAACTCAAGAATTCCTCTGCTAGTGAGAGAAAGGATGGCCAACTTTGATGTCCATCGTATTTTGGTCGACGAGGGGAGTTCCTTTGACGTCATGTATAATCATTTGTTCGGAACTCTGTAGTTCAATGATGCCCACCTATCACAATATGTAGAGTCTGACCTGTAGGGATTCAACGGCTCGACCTGCAAGCCACGGGGTTACGTGGAACTCTTTGTCACCTTCAGGGAAGAAACCGCATCCCAACAAGTCAAGATAAAATTTCTGGTGATCGACTGCCCGTCTCTGTACAACTTCATCTTGGGGGCCGATATTGGCCGAGCTGACCGTCGTACCCTCCACCGTCCATCTGAAAATGAAGTTCTACACCAGAGTGGACGCGTCGCCACCATCCACGGAGACATCTCAAAAGCTAGGAGATGTTTTCATGCAGCCTCCAAAGGACATAGCATGGTTGACACTAGAGCGCGACCCGCCAAAAAGGCAACCACTGCTCGACCTGGATTAAAGCCTACTCAGATTGAAGAACAAAAGGCTCCATCAAAGGTCGAATCCATCTCCCTCGACACTCGCTTCGACAAAGATGAAGTCGAAGCCTCCAACAACGAACAAGATCTTCTCTGACCCATCCTAGATGAAGACTTCGAGTTCACCCCCCTCGGCGAAGACCCTCACAAAGGTGTGAAGATCGGCACTGGACTCCCCGACTTAGAGAGGAAGCAGCTCAAAGCTTGCTTAAGGGAGAATGCGAACCTGTTCACATGGAATGTTATGGAGATGCCCTGACTCGACCTCGAGGTCGTCTGTCACTGAATTTTCGTTGATCCAGCCGCTAGGGAAATAGTACAACGTAGGCTTGGGCAGTCTCCCGAGAAAGTAGAGGATGTTGAACAAGCTGTAAAAGACCTCATAGAGGCAAATTTTATTTGAGGCCCGGTATTCAACCTGGCTCTCAAACGTTGTAATTGTAAAAAATAATAATGGAAAATGGAGAATATGTGTTGATTATACTGATCTTAATCGGGCATGTCCCAAAGATGCTTTTCTTTTACCTAACATTGATATGTTGGTCGACAACTTAGCCGAATATAAAATTTTATCGTTTATAGACGCCTACTCGGGCTATAACCAAATTCCAATGGAAATGAACTACAAGCATTGCACCGCTTTTATGACCAGCTCATGCAATTACTACTACAACGTAATGCCCTTAGGCTTAAAAATGCAGGGGAAACATACCAGCGGATGATGAAGAAATTCTTTCGTGACGCGGTAGAAACCGTTTTGTATAGTCATCCGACTGTTAATGAGGCCGCAATTGTTGCCCGACCAGATGATCATTGGGGTCAAACTCCTTGTGCTTTTTTGAAGCTGAGAGAAGGGTTTGATGCAGATGCTCAAGAGATAATTTCCTTTTGTAGGGAACGATTGCCTCATTACATGGCTCCTAAAACAATCGTTTTTCAAGATATGCCAAAGACTTCTACAGGGAAAATACAAAAGTATATTTTAAGGGAGAAAGCCAAGGCTTTGGGAAGTATATCTATAACTAGCCTATGGATACTTCTAAAATAGTGAAATATTAGTATCGGGTAGACATCTGTACCGGATACTCGTACCGCACTTGTAGTATTTTATTTTTTCTCAATATTTGATTTTGAGTGAAATTTATGGTTTTCTCAAATATCAATATAGTAAATTTAGATATTTTAATTTCTTTATTACTGTGTCTTAATATTATTTTTGATCTTTTGAAAAATTTTTAATCATATATTTTTATAAACATAACAATTTGGTTATCTATTTATATATCTCATAGAAAACTCTTATTTTTTATTAACGAATCTGTGTGTTATATTTTAGAAAATGTTGTATCTCGTATTGGTACTAGTACCCACATCGGATATTGTAACCGTACCTATGCATCATAGCTAGCTTCTCTAATTTTGACAAAAAAAGAAGCTCAACATGAAATTTCATTTTTATTTTAGCAAATATGCATTCAATGTTAGATTTCCATATTTTCAGAGAGATCTGTTTCCGGTATGACTTTGAAATATTGTAAAGTTCGGTCAACAATTTACAAATTTCTTGCCCTTGGATCAATGTTTGAATAGACTCGCCACATTAATCGAATAAGCTAAATCTTACCTAATGTGTGCCAAGTAAATCATCCTTTTCACTAATATAAGATATTGAACCCTGTTAACTTTCACAGTTTCCTCTTCATAATTCATTAAAAGGCATTCTAATTGAGATAAACCAGTTATCATCCATTAAACAACATCAGGTTTTATTCTAACATTAGAAAATACAGTTAGACTTACAACAACTTCAACTCAAATGATTAGTTCTTTGATTTGATTGTGCTTTCTAATAACACGTGATTAATGAAATGATAAAAAGTTATGATTCTCTCAAGGGGAAGATTTATTGGATCTTCCAACAAATTTCTAATCTATTTAGTCTTCATACTGAATTGAGCACTTACAAACTTATTTTTACCATCTAGGGGTCCAGAGATGCTTCCCAAGGCCTTGGCTTTCTCCCTCAAAACAAACTTTTGTATCTTACCTGTTGAAGTTTTAGGCATATCTAGAAAAATAACTGTTTTCGGAGCCATGAAATGCGGCAAACGATCCCTGCAAAACTCTATTATTTCTTCAACATCTGCATCAAACCGGTCTCTCAATTTCACATATGCACAAGGAGTTTGGCCCCATAGATCATCTGGTCTTGCAACAACCGCAGCTTCAAGAACAGCCGGATGGCTATACAAAACAGTTTCAACCTCGATCGAACTGATGTTTTCTCCACCAGATACTATAATGTCCTTCAATCGGTCCTTGATTTCGATGTATCCATCAGAGTGTTTCACAGCTAAATCTCCACTATGAAACCAACCATCTTTGAATGCTTCTTTTGTTGCTTTCAAATCTTTAAAGTAACCACTCATCATCGTATTCCCTCTAAACATCACCTCGCCGATAGTTTTTCCATCGGCCGGAACACTTTCCATAGTTTCAGGATCTTTGACATCAACTTCCTCCATTCCTACATGTGGCACACCTTGTCTGGCTTTCATCTTCGATCTTTCTTCCGGAGGCAACATGTCCCACTCGGGCCTCCACGCGCAAAAACTCCCTGCACCTAATGTTTCTGTTAAGCCATACATATGAGTAATATTGAAACCATTTTCTTCCATCATCGAAAGAATCTGCGGCGGTGGAGGGGAACCTCCTGTTAACACTTCTATCTTATGATTGAGAACCTTTGTATTCGTCGTCAATGTATAATTCGCAATCATGTTCATGACAGTAGGAGCTCCTCCCATGTATGTTACTCTATGTTGAACTATATTGTCAAATATGTTTTTCGGAGAGACTTTCCTTAGGCAAACATTGGTTCCGAATTGCGCGGCCACTCCCCATGCTAGACACCAACCATTGGCATGAAATAATGGAACATTCCAAAGATAAACAGGAAAAAGCTTCATTTGTAAGAACAAAACCGTCGCGAGAGAGTTTAGATAAGCACCTCTGTGGCTTAACACAACTCCTTTAGGCCTAGAAGTTGTGCCAGAGGTGTAATTTATACTTATAGGATCTAATTCATTCTCTGGTCTCACAATATCGAAATCATCACGTCCATTAGCTACGAGTTTTTCATATTCGTAACTAATAAAACTACTGTCAATAGTAGATGTGACATTAGAATCCATGATCATGACTAAAATTGGTTTATTTTTTGAATTTTTGGCCAAGTGGTCCAATGCGCCACTAGCAATTTCGACTAGTTGACAGTCAACAAAAAGAATCTTTGCTTGTGAATGCTCCAATAGGACCGAAACCATGTTTGCGTCGAGGCGCGAGTTGAGAGTACAAAGAATAGATCCAGACATTGGTACTGCGAAATGTAGCTCGTACATTGCAGGGATATTAGGTGCAAGTGTCGCAACCTGTTTACATAAACATGCACAAATGCTAGAAAATTTATATATCAGTTTAATATGAGAAGAGAGTCAGAACTAAAAAATAACAGAACTCACCACGTCGCCACGAGAAATTCCTAGTTGAGTAAGTGAAGAAGCTAGTTTGAGACAACGTTGATGAGTTTGTCCCCAGTTATAGGTCAAGGAACCATAGACAAGAGATGTTCTGTCTCTGCAAACTTTTGCTGCTCTCTCCAAGAAGTTGATTGGAGATAAAGGAACTGAATTTGCAGAACAATGAATGAGACCTTCTATTGATTCCCATGATCCTGGAACATTGCCCTGTAAAATGTTACAAGTTTTACATGAGGTGAGTTTCAATCCTGACACCTCTTATAAAATGATAGTTACTTGTTCACCTTAATTTGTAGTTATATAGAAACATAAATACAAGATGTAGAGAGTGTATGTTCCAATCTGCATCTTGTATTCAATAAATAAATTTTATCTAATTTAAAGATTTTTTTTTTTACTTTAGACTTACTAATAGTGCAATCTTTTATTCATGACATGTTAAATCAATATTTTTTAGTTTTGATTTACTTTTTTACATATGACATTTAAATAATAAAACATTTTAATTAAAATCAATTAAATATAAAATACTTCAATATTCTCTATCATCTTCAGATCTTAATATTCATCTTTATAATCTCCATGTAAAATCAAACCAAAAAAAAAAAAAAAAATCAAACCCATAAAGAAAAAAAATGAACATTCATACAAAACAAAACAAAATAATTATTTGGGTAAGAATAATAAAGAGGGAGAGTAGTTATTGCAAGATGATTATTGATGGGTATTGTTCTGGACTGGGTCCGACAGGCCCAAAGGCATTGCAAAGGCCCAATCCAAATGGACTTACAAGGGCCACGCCGACCAAAGAATGAGGCCGTGCCCGACGCACAGTCGCTGGCTCGACGATACGCCTCCAGCTCGACATGAGGTGGTCCAGCACCACGGTCTGAGGTCTAGCTCGACGTTACCTCGAGCACCCCAGCTAGGGCAGACTCAGTCCACCGTTCCCCCAACGATACTCCGAAAAGACCGCGTCTCCGTCCGCCCGCACTTCACGCAGAACATCCAGGAAGGGGACCACGTGCGGGTCCCCACTACCCACATAGAACCTGGCAGTTCCTCCATTGGGCCAAACCTGCCCGGCCCAATGAAGGAACCCTGGCCCAGCGCTGGGGGCTATAAATACCCTCTGCTTCCAGAGGGTCAGGTATTCATCATTCTAACCTTACACTTTCTATTATCTGCTCGTACTCCTACTTACTTCAGCATCGGAGTGCCTTGCAGGTACCCCCCCCCCCCCCCCCCACCTCGTTCAAAAAAGCTTTCTGCTCGGAGCCAGCCGTGACGGTCCATTTCTGATCAGGTCAGATCAGGTATTGAATGCATAACGTGAGTAGGGATGGAAAACAACTTGTACCCGTGGATACGGATGAAAATAGTTAGATCTCAGAAAACTTGAATTGTGGTCTTTGATAATTTTATAAGACTTAGAGTCAAACTTATTGTTTGCGATTGTTTTTTTTATTTGATCTGATTTTTTTAAGAATTCTGATTTAGTTTGAAAATCTATTTAAAAATATGTTTTATATTAAAATATTTAAATAATTTATTTTATTCGAATCAACTCAATAGAAAATCATAAATTGAACCAAATTAAATTGAAATCGCAAAAAATCATATTTAGTTTAGATGTGTTTGAGTCATCTTTTAACAAAATCGTACGGCTTGATTCAGTTTGTTGTTTGTATTTTGCAAATCGAACAAAACCGAATCAAACCGCAGTATGTTACAATCTAAATTTTACTTAACTCACATTCAACTTAAACCTAAACTTATTATACATTAACCTTATAATTACAAACAATTTTCTCATTTTTACAAATATGGTTTCAATTTCGGTCTTCTCAAATTTCTCCTAACATTATCACGCCTTCTTTGCCACATACATCTTGACTCTTCTTCTCTAATCTCTACTCTTTTATATTATTTATTTTTTACTTCTCATTTTTATACGAATGTTTCCTCTTTCAATTTCGGTTTTATCCCACATCTTCTTCTCTAATCAGTCATCTCTTATGTTCATTCTTTTTCACCATCACTAATCTCTCATCTCGTCTATATTTTTTTCTTTTCATTATAATATTTTTGATATTATTTTATGATATTATTTTATGTTTATTATTTCACTTTGTTTAATCTATTTTTTACATATTAAATGAGTTGTTGTCCAAATATGATGAGTTTCGTTGTTATTTAGTAGTGTGTGAATGATCAAATACAAAATTATATTGTCATCTATATGTGTACGTATAACTCAATAAAATATTTGTAAAAAACTTAATCAACCGAACCGAACCAAATCATATTGGTTTGGTTCATTTTTTTTCTAAAAGCCAATTAAACCAAACGTGCATTTTTTATCTTGCGGTTCAAATGATTTTTAGCGTCAAAACCGCCCAAACTATACCGCGAACACCTCTAATTTTATCAATGAAGTCTTATAGATCGGCCTATATAGGCCCACCTATTTAACTTTTTTTTTCTAATATATATGCATATATAGGATGACCTATTGAGTATATTTTTAATATATGCGCATATATAGGTCGATCTATAAGACTTCATAGGCTTTTTAAGAGCATAAATTTGACCTATTTAATTAGATAGAATTTAAAAAAAAAACCTAAGTATTACATTTTTACTAAATAGGTCTAGCCTGATCTAGCCTTAAATAGGATATGTTATAAGCTTTTATAGGTTTGTATGTCCTATTTCCAACTCTACTTAGATATATGTGAGTAAAACTCATTACGAGTATGAATACTATGATTTATTTGGTATCCACGAATAAAATTAACGGTTATTTAATTACCTATTAATAAACGAATACAAGGGCAAATTTGATAATATTCGCACTCGTGGGTATTTGTTTTCGTTATTCATTATCAAAGTTACTTAAATATTAATTTGTTAAATTTAAAATTATTATTATTATTATTATTATTATTATTATTTGGTTAAATATAATTTATTTTTTTTAATATGAAATTATTATTATTTTGTCGAATGTAGTATAATTATTTTTAAAAAAATGAATGTGATTTATTTTATTATTATTATTATGTGTAAAATTTAAAATTATTTCTTCTTTTTAAAGGAGGATAATTTTTTAATTAATTATACTTTTTTAAATTATTTAAATAATAGTATACATGGATATGTGTATATAGTTAGATATTTTAACATTCACGAATATCTGTAAGATAGATACCACACGAATATGGAATAATATAAATGTCATATTTATTAACCAGGACAGATAACGGAAGATTAATGCTCATGTCTATAGATATTCATTGTCATCCCTAAATCTTACTAGCTTAATTTATTGTTTTGCTTTGGTCCCTTAACAAAAAAATGTTACATAAAAGTCCCTTAAAAATGTTCTGTTATACAAAATTGTCCTTTCTGTTAAATATTAAAAAAACGTTAAATTTATTGATGCAATTTTATTTGTTGAGCCTCACTTTTTTTGGTTTATTTACCTGAATTTTTATTTGTTTAAAAATTTATTTTTATTAATTATTTCCTCCGGCCTTATTTATAAGCAAAAATTTTCTATTTTTTTAACCTTAAATATAAGCAAATATCAACAAATCTAAGTATATTTAATGTTTTTATTCCCAAATTATCTCTATATTTACTTAATATTGTTAGTGAATGACAATTTAATATACTAGTAATTATCTTATCTCTCATATATGAAATCAAGAAAATTAAATGCATTTAACTGTCTTTCTTAAGCGTGAAATTTGTTTTTTTACTTATAAATCATGTCGAAGTAGTAAGCATTTAGATCTCTCTTCTCTCTTCCCCAACCCTAGCTGCCACCTTTTTTTTCTATTCATCTCTTTTCCTTCCTCATTCAGATCTTTGTTCTCTTCTCCCTTTCCATCATCACATCACAACTTTAAGGGAGGTTGTGATATTTATTCTCCGACCTACAAAAGACTTTTTATCTCCTCCTTTAGGGTCCTCATCGAATAACAACTCTCGTTCATGCGCAACATGCAAGATTCAGTGAAGAAAATACACACAAGACTCTCTATCTTTTCATCATTCGTTAATGGTTTCTTCGTAACAGCTACAACAATAACCTCACAATGTGTTTTGTTCCAAGAAGGTTTTTAAGATGGAAAGACAAAATCTTGAATATGGTAAGATTTATTAGTGTTTCATTTCGCCCTTTCTTGATACTAGGTTCTTTAGTTTTGAAATTTGAGTTGTTTCGTATTAAACATTTTTATGCTAAAACTGAAAGTATCGATTTTTATGGGGTTATTGAAAGGTTTGTTTAAAATTGTTTTATTTATTTGTATTTTTTATGCTATTCAAATTCTTTGCTAATGTTGTTTCTCTAAACGGTTCAGTTAATTTCTACATTTTATTTATAATAATTTCATCTTCTGATTCTGATTTTCTACAACTTTGTTGTTCTTCCACGTCTGAGGTATACAAGAGCAAAGAACAAGAAAATGATATTTTGCAGTATAAGAAAGGAATTTTGGAAAGACATATTGGTGTAGGTATATGAGACTGACTAGTTATGCATTGTTTTTTTAGTTTGATTTGAGCTTTTTAGATATGATTTTCAATGTAGATATGGATTTTAGAAAGTTGGATCTACGTTGAGTTGATAACGATTTTGCTATTGTTTGTAGTACTATAATACTCAACTAAACTTGCTTACCATTCTGATAAAGAATCAAGACCTTATTCTTGCATTAATGACTATGATGATCTCATATAATCTTACTTTGTTCAAATTGTGACCTTAAATCAGAACTTAATCAAATATTTGATTACTGTCATATGTGTAGTGATGTTTTGAATTTGTTTCAATTGGTGATGTTTTTAATTATGTTAATTATATATTTTTGTGATTGGCATTATGTTTGGTAAAATGAACTTAGTATAAACATATGTTATAAGATGTTCTAAACCTGCAGGAGGAACATGTCGGACATGATGTCCTATCCAGATTATCCGACATCTTTTTTGTTACGGATGTTCACTTGGATTTGTTATGTTTTAACGGATCCTGAATATTCTGGGAATATTAGGATATTGTTTGTATCGTCCAAGACTGAAGAATCAAAGTTTCCTTCTATATTTAGAAGATTAATTTATTTCATCAAATGTTGAGACATTTTAGAAAACAAATCATTGGAGTCATATTTTCGTGCAGAAGTTTCTGCTGATTT